AACTTTGAATTAATCGAACTGCACGGACCGATCACTGTTTATCTCTCGGACCTCTCCACTTCGACCAATTAGGCGGTTCAATGATTAGAGTCAATAAACGGCCGGTGTTTGGACCGGCGCCATTGCATAAGATAACGGTAAAGTATTTCCGGTAATATGATTGGTAAACCGGCGTGGAATCGCATCGGCCACGCTCAAAATACGCTGTTTGTCCACGTTATGTTTCGAGTTATCTATGGCGGAATGCGTTCTGCGTAACGGCAGACACGTATTTGTAAAATGGTGGTGTTTAAGCAGGTTAAAGCATCGATTATATGTATTACTAAATATGATATTTTGGTGCAATGTTCAGTATGTCCCCGGATCGTCTTAATCGATCGTCTCATGTTCCCGGATTGGAAGACGAAGAACTTTTTATTATTAATACTTTGAGAAAAAAATTATGCTTAGATGATCAGCCTATTTTAAAATAAGCATATTTATTTTTGGTTTAGTTTAGTTTGGTGTGACTGAGTGAGACAAAGTGTGACTGAGTGAGACAAAGTGTGACTGAGTGAGACAATAATAGTATATTTATATTAGACCTAAAATAGCCGAATAGAAAAAAAAAATTATAAAGTTTTGATAAGTTGAGATTAGATAGTAGTTCAGATTAGACAAAAGGAGACTTTTCAAAATCAAAAGAGTTCTTAACTCTAAAGTGTGAGCTTCACCCCAAAAAACCACCCCCAATACGCCCTTCGATGGTTTTTCGCTTTTTTCTCAGAACCCGTTGGTCCCACAAAAAATTTTATACTTACCAAAAATATTCCCTATAAAATTTGCTACAAAAAAGGTTCTATTCATTATTTATATTTATCCAATGCATTTCGAGCAAAAACCGTTTGAAAAATGGACTACAAAAAGAATACAGGTCGCCTTTCAAATTATAGTCTTCGAAGGTATTTTAACGTGCTAAATATACACGCAACAGATATAATACTGTATAATATAAACAAAAAAACTGCATTTTCCACTAAACTAGCATTCATACTTTCATCTATATATCGTCATCGTCCATAGTTTCTAGAATGTGCTCAGTATTCGAACAAATTTGCCCACGACAGGTTCCGCACATAGTTGCACATTTCATGCCGGCTTTAATGCAACTGCATCTTTTAAATAAATAATCTATCGAATAAAGTAATAGAATACCGAGGGTGCCATTTAGAAAATCAAAAGTTGTAGTCATTTTCGGTGAAATAGGAAGTGACCGAAAACAATTGAATACGTCAATCAATCTAAATTTATGTCATATAAAAAAATTATAGGTGTGAGTCACTTTTGATTTGAACGGCCCAAGTATGTCATTTTCACCTTGAAATTAAATAGTGACAACTTTAGAAGAACTGAAGTTAGTTACATAAATATGATTTTCTGTTTTACATTCTAAACGTTTTTCTAAATACAGGGTGAAAGACTGTTAACGCAATTGTTAATGCAGTAGGACAGGACTGTAAACAACAACATTACAAATTTAAATGCTCTATGAATGTAATATTATAACAGTAGAAGTTTTTTAGAAAGGAATTTGTATACATGCGGTTTTACAATGAAAACTATCAATTTTGAAGCGATAGCTCAAAATACGCTTATCTTAAACCAGCGCTAGAGCTTAATCTGATTCTCTTACAAAAAAATATAAAGAATTGATATTTGTGTATTTTTATTTTGTAGAGAGGTGCTCAGTTACGCAGCTGCCGAATAATGTGCTCCGGTATGGCTCAGTAGCCCACATATCCACAAAATAGACGCACAGCTCAATAACACAGTGAAAATAATTGCTGATGTTTTTAAATCCACACTCACAGAATGGCTTCCAGGTACTGAGTCACGTCACATCCCACCCCCCAGTCTGGGCTGCATAAACGTTCTGTACAGAGAGTTTATCAAGATACTGGACAACAGAGAACTACCGATCCATACAGACATCGAGGATGCTAACCACAACCGCCTCCGATCCAGAAAACCACTCACCAAGACCGCACTAAATGCTATTGAAGACAAATGTAGCATCACCGACGCTTGGTATCAGGAATAGACGTCGAAACAATACAGTAACATGCCATGCATCACTAACTCACCGCAATGCTTCGACTAATGAAGAAAAACCTATAGCATATTAAACAGAATTAGAACACAGCATGATAGATGGCGCCTATACTTTACACAAATGGGACAATAGTCTAAGCCCCTCCTGCGAGTGCGGCAAAAATCAAACCGTCAAACATATCGTGGAGGAATATCCTGAAACGGCTTATAACGGTAGACCAGAAGATTTCCTATTGGCAGCTCCAGAATCAAAATATTATATACATTTGTTAAATGTTGAAACGTTTGTATTTTTTTTTCTTTTTGTCATATACGTATTTTGTGTCTTAATATGGTACCATACGCTAAATAAAATTATACAGACCGGACCACCGTAGTAGTAACATAGGCAGAACCGGACGGATTAGCGTATACCCGTCCGCCGGATAAAAAGCAGGCGAAAAAATGCGATAAAATAAAAATAGGTCAATATGTGATAAGAATGTTTCAGAATTTGTATTTATTCGTGTTTTAATAGCCAAACGAATACGTAGATTCTCGCGACAGTTCTCGTGTAAAATTTATTTTTTAAGTAAAATAATGGATGTTTATGAAGTTTGTGAGAAAATTCAAATTGTAAAATGGTATTTCCAAAATAGGTCTTATCGGGATATACAAACAATTTTTCCACAAACTTTTGTAAACAGGCCAATTCCATCTTCATCTACAATATCAAGAGTTATTAATAATTTTGAAACACATGGGTGCGTGTCACCACAAAAACACAAAAAGTCTGATGGGTTGATTAATGTAGAACATGAGTTAAAACAAGTGTTCGTTTGTGCTACCGCCGATCAAAATCCCACGTTTTCAAGTAATCAAATTGCTGAGGTGGTTGCCCTGCACAATGCCCGTATTGTTCAAGGATATTTGAACAATACTTTTCCCAGCCGTTTAATTAGTGGATATGGAACTATTTTGTGGCCCGCTAGATCACCAGATCTTTCTCCCAATGATTTCTTTTTGTGGGGTTATGTAAAATCCAAAGTGTATGGTCATAATAGGGCTAATAATCTGAATGAGCTTCAAGTAAAAATACGAGAGGCTTTCCAAATTATTAGCCCTAATATGTTAGCCAAGGTCAGACGGGGATTTTACGACTGCCTAGGCTTCTGTCTAGCACAAGAAGGTGGTCTTTTTGAAACTTGTTATAACTTTTTTTTTATTTAGAGTAATATTATATTTTTTTCTGGGTTTAGAGAATTTATTTATTTTTAGTTTTGGCTTGTAAACACACTCAAATAGTAAATAATTAAATATTTTTATTTTAAATGTTACCTTAAGTGAAGGTAAATACTTAAAATGAAAATAATAAATACACTGCACTCCTCGCGTCATATTCGTAGTCTGTCTTTTGACCGACCCGTCCAAGCACAACTGCAACTGCGTACTGCCTGACCAGCCGACTAGCCGGCAGTGACTCTCGAGTACGAACGCAAAACGGGTAAACGTAAATTCGTCCGGCAACTTGCTATGTTACTAGTAGCCTGGTCTTCTCTGTATATTGTTTCCTTGGTTTTAGGTCCATAAATAATATTGTCATTTTATTTCATTAAGGACATTTATTTTTGTTAATACTGTCTAACGTTTCGATCATTTTTCGACCATTATTAGACAGTATTAACAAAAATAAATGTACTTAATGAAATGAAAGGAAAATGATTTATTGACCTAAAACCAAGAAAAAAAAAATATAAAAATACAGGGTGTCCGGAAATTAATGCCACAAAATTTGTCATAGGTTCTTGAAAAAAAAATAGATGACCCGTATTTTTTATTTTTGGCGAGTGGCCCCCCTTCTCGGATTTACGGTCCCCTGAATTTCGGCGCTAAAAAGAGTTTTTTTTATCTCGGGGCCCTGTTGGACGAAAATCACCAAATTTGGTACACGTTGTTTTACCATAAAATGACATTTTTTGATGCTATTAATTTTTTTTATTTTCATCAGTGGCGTCCCTACGGCATTTAAACTAAATATTATTGAAGAAAAAAATGGTACGCCAGTGTTTTTTTTTAAACAAAAATTATTTTTAAAATCTACATTAAATTTAGAACAAATTTGATCTCTTGACTTTTTTTGGTACGACGCACCGTTTTCGCGTAAAAAAATAAAAACCATTTTCATGCATGAATAAATCGCTAAAATTTTACCGTAAATTTCATTGGCAAAATTTTTAAAACAGCAAACTTAAGTTTAAAATAATTTTTTATTTTCCAAAATCTTGTTTTTATTACCTAAGTGCGAACCAAAATGTCCAAAAACCTAAATTGCCGTTTTTTAAATTTTGCTACGAAAATTTACATTAAAATTTTAGCGATTTGGTCATGTATGTAAATTATAAAAAAATGTCAGGAATCTATGACCACATTTTGTTGCATTAATTTCCGGACACCCTGTATAATATTAGAGGTCAAAGAAGTATAATTAGTATAATTTTGAAGTTATATGCAGAGAATCACAAATAATGTATTTTTACATTTATTTCATTTTTTCAATATTCCGTCACGAAATTTTGTGATCAAACATCAGAATGGGATTAGCACCCTAAAAATCAAAGAAAATAAAATAAATCAAAACTACCCCAAAATTTTACCCAAAAAATACCAAATAGACTATGTGTATTTATTACTTAATGTCACCCGTTACAATAAAGTCACCACACCAATAAAGAGTTAAGTGGATGAAAAGATATGATTCCACTCACCATAAGTAGCACAAATAATTATAGTAGGTAACTCGTTTCGTATGGCAATCATTCAGATTCTAATTTTTAATGACCTATATTTGTTAAGTCATTAAATTCAACAAAATGGAGAAGTTTAATTGAACTTAAGTATTTATTTACCTTCTTACTGAAGTATTTATTTACCTTTTTTAAATAACGATGAAGATGTCTGACTCATTATCGATTTAATAGTAGTGGGCGCTGGGATTTCTGAAACGAGAAAAAAAGAGAAAAATTAGTAAAAAACTTTCCAATTAATTTGCTTAAGGAGGAATGGAAAAATAATTCCGAGATTACCGCGGAAACTACTTTGAGTTTTATTATTTTTAAATTAAAAAATAAAATAAAAAAAGATGCGCCTTGAGGAACTTTATACCACAGATGATTTATTAAACTTTTTTTTCGGCAGATATAATTTAAATTTCATAAAACTTTCTACCTTTTGGGAATTAAGTTTTTTTTGTTCTAACTTCAGAAGATTTTTGTTTTTTCTTTCCGAATAAAAGGAGTTTACATTTGATTTGGTTATTCCAATAAACTTGGGAAATTATTTTAATATTTTTTTTTTTATAAAAATAATATTTTAATAAAAATACAAAAGTAATTTGGTTGGGCTTTGAGATATTCGTATCCCAAGCAGCATTTGGACGTCGGGACAACGTTGTGTCACGCGACTAAACGTCGGGGCGCAACGTCGGCACAACCTCGTGCCAACCCTAGTCTGCACTAGTTTGGAGAATATTTTTTGGGTCGAAACGACGTTGGATACCGACGTCGGCTAGAAGCCTAATTTAGTACAAACTGCAACGTTCTTTAAAATCCTAATTCACAGAAATACAAAACTAATATGGCGTCTAAGTCGAGTTTTATACTAAATTGGGATAACTATAATAAAAATATTATTTTTATGATTTAGTTAGAGACATATGTCAAATGGCAGTAAAGGAAAACAAAACAAAAGTATTTAAATGTGGGGGATGTTTGAAGATCATAATTATTGAAACACTTTAACCGACTCTGTAACTCGTTACCCAAGGCAAAAAATTTAAACGCAAACAACTTTATTGATAAATGTATTGTTTCTACTTTGAAAAATACTAATGTGCCTTAAAATTAAAGAAGTTTTAAAAATTTTCTTGAATTTTTTTTTTAGTAAAATGAGAATAATTTATTCGCAGTCGAAAAAATTGTCTCCGCGTGTTTTTTTAGGGTCAAATATTTCAAGTTAATGTATTCAAAAAGCAGGAATTGCTATTTTAGGAACGAAACATTTTCTTATTTAACAACATGGCGGCTTTCACTTTGTTGTTTTGGAGATTAAGATGGAGTAGTTCGAGTAGTCGCATACAGGACTAATAAAGTCGCAGTTCGGCCTTAACAGGTAGTATACTAGTCGCAAGATTGCCTAATTTAGTAATCCTAGAGTCTAGCTTGTGCCGCCCTCTATAATCTAAATAAACGAGGGAGTGGATAAACTATCGGTAATATATGTCGATGTATATTTAAATTTAGTTTTATATGTACCTTTCTTATGTCCCATTTTAATTGTTTTTTTTTATAAAAACAAAAACAGCACTGAACTGTCTGACTGAACAGAACAATGAAGTGAAAATTTAAGATTTAAGGTTATGGTTCAATACAGTTGCAAAAAGGTACGGTACTCGACGTCCTACCAACGTAAGAATAAGGAAATTTAAACAACGTTGGAATTAGTAAAACAGACGACGTTTGCATAACGTTAGAATAGGTCCTGAAACTGACGTCGGAAAACTCTATATTGTCCAACGTTGTAACTACGTTGTCCGAATCAGCTAAAGATCACTTAAGCAAAAAAGGTTACAAGAAAACGTTTATTCGACGTCGCAGAAGCTTCTACTTTGCTGTAGTACTAATCCAACGTCGGCACAACGTTATAAAAACGTTTAAATTTATTTTAATACCCAAGGTAGGGAGCTAACTATTTTTTGTAACTAATCCAACGTTGTGTTTAGTAAACATGTGGTCGCAAGTGGTGAAAATGCTACTTGGGGTTATAATATCTATGGATATAAGGACAAGCTACAGATTTTTGTACACTTAATTTATATTTTTTAAACTTATATCTTCCTCCCGAAGACATGTTATAAATGCAGTGTTTTGTTTGATCACATAGTCAATGAATCTTTGATCAAATAGAAAAAAATCAAGTTGTTTGAAACTGGGACACAACAGAATAGTTTCTCCAAAAAAATTATATATGGGTATTTCGCCATTGCAAGAAAATCTACAATCTACTAGCTAGAAGCTCTTCGTTTTAAGTATGTAGATGTTTTAAAAGCTCTTTCAAAAATCATTTTAATTTCTACTAATAAACCTGAAGCTAATGAGGCAACAGCATTAAAAAATCAGTAAGAAAAATTTAAAACCGTATTTTTAATTATTTTTCAAACAAAAATTTTAAAAAATATTGACGTTGCAAAACAGCAAAATATTGAGGAGGCATCCAAACTGTTCACGGTGTTATATGAAAACATAAAAAAAATGCGTGATGATTTTAATTTAGTTATGACAGAAGCTATTGATCTAGCGAAGCAATGGGGTACAACAACTCAATTTGTAATGAAAAGGATGTCTCGCCCAAAAATATTCTTTGACGAAATTAATAACCATAATCAAATTCAAACAAATGAAGATTGGTTTAAAATAAACGTATTTTTTAAAAGCTTGGAGCTCAAATAAAATCTCGCAGTACCGGTACTGAAGTTTATTTAAATTTTCGCGCAATTTTGCCTGTTTCTGATGAGAATATATATGAAATGGGTCAGGTTCTATACCTTAAATACCCCGATGATATTGCCTATACGATTTCTTCTCAATTACTCTCCTTCAGGCAATGTTTCCGAAATAATTTATATGAAATCAATTGCATTTTTGAACTCACTGAATTTATTTTAATTAAAAGCCTTTCATCGTCTTCTAGTTTCAGCGAGATTTTAACAGCGTGTCATATTTTTCTCACCATACCTGTTTCTGTGACCTCGGCTGAAAGATCTTTTTCCAAATTAAAGCTTGTCAAAAATTATTTAAGAAATACTATGGGCGAAAAACGGTTATCAGCTTTGGCAATTATTTCAATAGAAAGTGAAGTTGCTCGTACAATAGACATTGGTAATATTGTGTCAACTTTCGCCCATGCTAAAGCAACGAAATGTTCTTGTTCCTATTTACATTGTTTATTTTAATTTAGTTAGTTTTGTTTAGGTGTTCTTTTTTGTTTTGTTTGTATTATTTTTTTATGTATTTGATATTTTATATGTTTTGGGTTACATATTCTGTGGTGCAATAATAAATAGTACTATATAAAAATTAATTTGATAATGTTATTTCTAGCCTAAAATATGAGTGCATATTATTCAGATTATTATATACAGGGTGATTCCTGTAAGTCGGTCATGCTTTCGGGGAATGATGGGGGACGTCGAAATATTGATTTTGATATAGCACACTATGGGTCGGAAATGCCTCTTACGCAAGATACAGGGTATTAAAGTTTTTGAAAAATTAAAGATATTCTTTAATAGTTTTTTAACAGTTGAAGGTATCGTTATGAAATTTTATTATAGGAGTCTACCTAACAGAGACACTTTAAATGTAAAGAGAAGAGGTTTTAGTTTCAACCAGTGGCGTAGCTGTGATACGCATCGGGTAATATTTTCAAAAAAAAATAGTACGCCACTGATAAAAATAAAAATTTCGGAGTTTTTTTTATTTACTCGGTTTATTTCCAAGAAAAAATGTCTCTTGCAACTTTCTTCTATCTAACACCATTTTGTCACAATTTACAAGTAAATATTGTTTTTAATGAGAACCTTAAATATGCGAATTATTATAACTACTTTAAAACTAAGAATTTTATTATTAACAATAAAAAAAAATCTAGTTTAAATTTATAATTTTTTAAAAATATATTTAGAGCTAATAGTAAAAAGTACCAAAGTTACCCAAGATGGAGGGAGCTAACGATGCACATGTGTTTCTGCCCTCTAGTTATAATAATTCGCTGGTATTTGAGATTTTCATTAAAAAAATTTATTTATTTTTAAATTGTGACAAAATGGTGTTAGATAGGAGAAAGTCGCAAGAGGCATTTTTTCTTGGAAATAAACTGAGTAAATAAAAAAACTCCGAAATTTTTATTTATATCAGTGGCGTAGTATTTTTTTTTGAAAAAATTACCCGATGCGTATCACATCTACGCCACTGGTTGAAACTAAAACCTGTTCTTTTTACATTTAAAGTGTCTCTGTTAGGCAGACTCCTATAATGGAATTTTATAACGATACCTTCAACTATTAAAAAACTATTAAAGAATATCTTTAATTTTTCTAAAACCTTAACACCCAGTATCTTGCGTAAGAGGCATTTCCGACCCATAGTGTGCTATATCAAAATTAATATTTCGACGTCCCCTATCATTCCCCGAAAGCATGAGCGACTTACAGGAATCACCCTGTATAAGTACTGAAATATGTAGGTGTAATAAGGGTCCCGGTAAAATTTTTTCACATGGGCCTGTGAGTCTGTTGTTACGCCACTGGTAAAAGTCGCCCTTTCTTAAATAATCTTTATGTTCTTTAATACGAACATTTAAGGGTCTAGATGTTTCACCAATATAAAATTCACGTAAAAAAAATAAAAAATAAAAGAGGTTTTTTTAATAAAACCTAACTAAAATAAATGTATTGCTCATGCATCTGTAGATGTTAGTAATGTATGGCAATCGCTTCTTTGATTTTAAAGAACATAACATATATAAACATAACGTACATAAAAATTAAAAATAATCATACAGAAACTTTGAAGCTTTTTGGTTTTAGCTTATAATTAATAATTGTTATCAGGTAGTAATTATAAATTTTGAAGTTTTACTACAGAACGTCAACGGTTTTTGTAGACGAATTTGTTAAAAAAAAAAAACTAAAGTGTTCTCGAATACTTGCATTTAAATATTTTAAATAGTTTTTTTCTTTATCCTTTGTATTTTTTTGCTTCTGAAGACGGAAAGAGATAAACTTTCCGAAACGTTAAGCATTTTTTTGTTCGTTGGGCAAATTTGTTTATCAGTAAACTGCTGACAATAATTAGTCTCCGTTGGACTAACGCAGCAGTGTTTACAAAAAATAATTATTTTATTTTGTAGATTTTCGGGCAGTGGCGAAATACCCATATAGGATTTTTTTGGTGAGATGAATCCGCCACATAGGTATAGACATTTTTTAACAGAATAGTTCTCAATTTTTTGTTAAAATACCAGGACACACAACTTAAATTCTGATAAATTACCTTTTTATCGTCCGGTTTGTTTTTTTGTTTTAAGTTACCTCGAAAACATATTCTCTTAAACGCAATTTTAAAAATACTAACCTTCCAATTTGATAACGCCGTCGGTTTCACCAAGAGAATTCTTTGCCACACACCTATAGGAACCAAAGTCGTTTTTGTTAACTTTGCGAATTTTCAGCATCATGTATTTCTTGTAGCCGCTGTCCATCGATACTGCCTCGTACTTGTCACCTGAAACAAAAGAGACTGCATTAAATATTGCTGATTACTTAATAGAAAATTATTTCAAAACTATCTTTGAAAATAATTCATAAATGGATATATAACAAATGCAAGTAAAATCTATCAAATTCACAATTTGAATTCATAGATGCACACAGAAGTGACTATATAATCGCTATCCAGTTTCTGTTTCAGGGCTGTAGCCACTAATTTTTGTCTTTCTTAATCCTTACAATGAAATTAGCGAAACAAACAATAAATACGCTCATTAAAACCCCTAATTTGAAGGTTTTGAATGAAGCTTGTACTGTATCTAAGTATTCTTTATATCGCTGATCGTGTTATAACGTTTTTAAACACTACCACTGCGAACGGCAGCTTTTCATCGGTAGGGTATCGTGGATAAGGTATTTCACTGGAGAAAAGCTAATTAATAATAATAAATCAAAATTAACATATTAGCGCCAGGCATGAACAGAGAACGAAAACACAGTTGTATATTACTTAAAACTAATGACTATATTTATTCATGATTTTCTGTGATGGTAAATAACATTGTAAAACTTTAATAATTATAGTGGTTATATGTCGAAGAAAGTAATGTTAAAAATATTACTAAACATGTTTAATGAAAAAAACTGTAGAAAAATACAATATAGATAAGGCTATAGAAAATATATAAAAGGTAGCATTACTTTAATTAATTTGTTATATTTTATACGATATTAAATCTGAGATGTTTCAAGCCCTAGATTCTAGAATCTGTTCGGTCATTCATCTGTCAAAATGACGCTATTTATATAGAGAAAGTAATACTATTACAAGACGTAATGTTCGCAAAGAAACTAAGATCTAAATCATATTTTAAATACTAAACTGACATAAAAAGGTTAACCACTAGACGTAAAGTCTGTACGATATTATTCAAGAAGTATGTTATTGTTTTAAGACTGAAAATGTATATGTAAAACGTAAAACCAGAACTTAAATCTAAAGTTAGCTGTTCGTGCTTAAAGCAATCATGTTTCAAAGAGTAGCAACGGGAGGTGGGACTCGTATCTCTATACTGTCTCTCGGCTATACTGTTCGCCAATACAACAAAAAGGGACAGGATGAGGACACCATGAACTAATACAGCCGTAACTATCGACCAGGCTTAAAACAGGAACGAAGCAGCATGGGGCTTACGCTACATCCATACTGGGGGAATCTGTAATAAACAGAGGGCTCTATAATAAACAGAGGCAATTGTCCTTTCTTCCATTTAACATTCAGGAGGACAAAAGCAAAAGGACACCAACGTGCCAGCAAAATAAAAATACGAGTTAAGGTCGGCTAATCCAAAACTCTACCCTGTAGCTTAGAAATAGCAGCCGATTCATTTCTCTAAGCCAACAAATACGTTTAAAAAACGTATTTGAAACGGAACCTTGAAGTGATGTTGACAGCCCTCCACACAAGCAGTGAAACGATAACAGAGTTGTCAACTTTAGAACGTTAGAACTACGCCAAGCGTTTCAAATAAGTTATCAGGCCTGAACGATACGGAATCCCGTGATGATACGCCAGACATCATATATCATATACAGACCGGTCCACCGTAGTAGTAACATAGGCAGAACCGGACGAATTAGCGTATACCCGTCCGCCGGATAAAAAGCAGGCGAAAAATGCGATAAAATAAAAATAGGTAGACATGTGATAAGAATGTTTCAGAATTTGTATTTATTCGTGTTTTAATAGCCAAAACGGATGCATAGATTCTCGCGACAGTTCTCGTGTAAAATTTATTTTTTAAGTAAAATAATGGATGTTTACGAAGTTCGTGAGAAAATTCAAATTGTAAAATGGTATTTCCAAAATAGGTTTTATCGGGATATACAAACAATTTTTCCACAAACTTTTGTAAATAGGCCAATTCCATCTTTACCTGCTATATCAAGTTATTAATAATTTTGAAACACATGGGTGTCCCCACAAAAACACAAAAAACCTGATGAATACTTGAACAATACTTTTCCCAACCGTTTAATTAGTGGATATGGAACTATTTTGTGGCCCGCTAGATCACCAGATCTTTCTCCCAATGATTTCTTTTTGTCGGGTTATGTAAAATCCAAAGTGTATGGTCATAATAGGGCTAATAATCTGGATGAGCTTCAAGTAAAAATACGAGAGGCTTTCCAAACTATTAGCCCTAATATGTTAGCCAATGTCAGACGGGCATTTTACGACTGCCTAGGCTTCTGTCTAGCAAAAGAAGGTGGTCTTTTTGAACACTTCTTATAACTTTTTTTTATTTAGAGTAATATTTTAGTTTTATTTTATTTTATTGATGTATTTGTTAATTTTGGAAATGAGTTTTGTGTTTAGAGAATTTATTTATTTTTAGTTTTGGCTTGTAAGCACACTCAAATAATAAATATTTAAGTACTTTTATTTTAAATGTTACCTTAAGCGAAGGTAAACACTTAAAATGAAAATAATAAATACTCAGCACTCCTCGCATCGTATTCCTAGTTTGTCACGACCGACCCGTCCAATCACAACTGCAACTGCGTACTGCCTGACTAGCCGGCAGTGAATCTCGAGTACGAACGCACGTAAATTCGTCCGGCAATTTGCTATGTTACTAGTAGCCTGGTCTTCTATGTTATAAAAAAGACATGTAACGAACTAAAAACGTTACAGTGTCAATTTATACTTTACATACCATCAATTGAAGGATACATGTTAATCAATAACACAAACGCAGTATCCATTATAAATGGCTCGTTGATATGAACGACAAAGTAGGAAAGAACAAAAATGTAGATGGAACAAAGTTTCAAGTTTCTTTTCTTAACCTAATCACACAGAAAGTTGCACAGAAAATGTACATAAACATAATATCTGCTTATAAAGAGGCATACATATATGTGTTTGGTGTTATAAGTTAAATAATATACACTCAGATGCAAGTAAAAACGCAAGGGGGAAAATTTGGGTCAAATTTACAGTGTTTTATTTTTGTTAATTATAGCTATATTTTCATTATTTTTTTAGTAAACTGCATATAATTATGTCGACTTTGGTTCATAAACTCATTTTTTTTTAAATTTTAGTATTTAGCATATTATACAGGGTTAATCGAGGGCGTGTTTTTACCCTAATTTTAAAACACTTATTGCATAGAGTGTTTTAAAGTTAAGGTAAAAAAACAACCCTTTAGTTAACCCTGTATAATAAACAAAATACTAAAGATTATAAAAAACTGGGTTTATGAATTAAAATTTATAGATTTATATACAGTTTGCTAAAAAAATCATGAAAATAGGGCTAAAAGTAAAAAACCATAACACTTTAAACTTGTGGGAAAAATATTCCAATGCGTTTTTTTGCGTCCTGGGTGTAGATTAATTTTTTAATCTACACCCTAATAATCTACACAGTAAAATTTAAAGGTAGTTCGCTAGAAATTATTAATTTCATGTTATTTTTAATTTCAGAATCGCTATATTGCCATAAATCAAACTTCGGTTTAATATCTACATTTGAAAATTGAAATAATTAAAAATCGCACAATTTTAATTTATAGTGTTTCATTCCATATCCATTTATTAACTCAATAAACATTCATAAACGTGCCTAAAACATATATCAATCAACTTCATGGATAAAAATTGGTGTGTAAACTTTTCCACGCACGGAATCAATTTTAAAAAATGAAATATTCACCAAATAGATCTGACCTATTAATTTTTATTTTTGAGGTAAAAATTAAAACTCTGTTATTGAAAGAGCTAGAAATTAAAATATGAATATTTGCAATCAGTAAAATGGATTATTATTATTTATTGTGTTTTTTTTTTCGTAAAATAGTAGCAAAAAATGTTATATTTTGGGGGAAAAAATAACTCGTATTATTGACATGTAAATTTCATAGGGTGGCGCCACTCATATCACGCGGAAGGTCCAAGAAGAACGGTAGTTTATATCTATACCGGGTCTTGCGTCGTCGAGCGGGACATACTTTGAATAAGAAGACTAAGGAAGGAGCATAATGCTAACCATGTATTCATGCATGGTGGGCGGAAAAGCCACCATAAAAGCTCTCTAGGGTGGGGATCCTTGACAGTTCTGTTTGACGATTCATTTGACACATTTGAATTTGATTTGAAATTTTGTGGATTTGTCAGTCTTTACGGAGATTATTTTATGTTATTTATTATTTATTCTACTACTGATAGTTGTATAAAGGTAGTAAATCTAGATGAAAATTGCGGCAAAACTTAAATGAACAGTGACACTATCGCGATTTAACGAAAAAGACTCTAAAATAGTTGGTTGTGTAGCGTGCGGTAGATCTCGGCAAAAATTGAGTGAAATAATGGAACAACTTTTCGCTAGTAAGTGACTATATAATATACATACGTGTAGTAAACCGATCATTTATGAAATTCACTTAAATTAACTAAATTATATGTTTTTCTTGCATTTTAGCTTTTATTTATTACTTGTCAAAGATTAGATGTCAAAGAATTTAGATACGTTAATTTGACTTACCTGCTTCAGTAGCGTATCGGATGTTTGTGTTAATAAATACTTACTATAACTTATCTATTTTTATTAGAATTATATATTTTTATAACAATTTTAGTAACTACCAACATTTATTCACAACGTAAAATAAAATAACAAATTATTGAGTCTACCCCACGTCTACCCTACATCATAGTTTTACATTTTTTAAATAAAATTAGAACGACACTGATAAACCGGAATTTAAGTCGGCCATATTTGAGGCCCAACGCGGTGTACCTAAGATTTTTGATATGCTCCTTCCTTAGTCTTCTTATTCAAAGGGGACATAGGAAATCCCATGTAAATTTTAATGGGGTCAATTATTGGCTTCCCTAGTTATTTTAGAGAATAATTCTATTTAGGTTTATTGAAGAGCACTAAAACCCACATTCAAAAGAATAACTTTAGATATTTTTGATTCGCCCGTTTAAGAGTTATCGCCGATT